TGAGCAGATGTTTGTTCGTTCCTTTCAATGTGAGAGTTAGATCTTTAAATGCGACCTCAATTCTTGGCCTGGTTCTCGTTTCAGTATCAGTAGCCATAGAGATTACTCCCGAGAAGGTCAAGTTCTTATTTTGCTGCTGCATAGCTTTCTCCTTCTCAAGCTGACCATATGCGTATTTAAAAATTTGACTACGTGTATGCATTTGTTTACCCCTAGGTGCTTGCTTCTTAATATTCTTATCTCCAATTTCAACATTGAATCCTCCATGACTATTTGGATCTTCATCAAGAGCACGCATCATTTTGGTAAGGCTGGTCGGCTCTTTTTTCTTCTTTGAAGCAGAAGATGATTGGCCAGAAGAACTGGAAGTATCTAATGGACATAATGCAGACACTGTGTCAGGCTTAGTTTGATTCCCAACTTTTGACTGCTCCTGTTGCATTCTGGATTTTTGGCGAGAAAATGTACGGGACAATTGTTGTTGCAAGCCCACCGCATGTTTTTTAGCAACATCTTTTGCCGATTTCCACCTTTCCCGAGCTTGTGCAGTTTCTCTTGCATGTCTTGCGGCAGCTTCCCTAGATTTAGCTTTCCTTTTTTCCCGAGTGGTGAGAACTTGATCAGAACAGTTGTATATGATGATCAGTAGAGTGCTTACAGCAGCCTGAATTGAAAAGTTCGCAATTCGTGGTCAATTGGCACTTGGAAGATCTGCAAATTGTATTTGGCTGTTCTAACTTTTTCATTAGCATCTATTACTGTGCACAATAATCTCATGAGTTTGTAAATGTTATTCCAGGCGAAATTTTTTTAAGGATCTTTCAAGGTCTTGGGGAAACAATCCTAGAATTAGTCCTATGCAAGATGTACACCGAAAAACTTCCGAGCTGACATCATTCGTGTCTGACAGAGTGAAACGAGTCCAATCCATAAAAGATGCATAATCAAAGATGTACTTACGATAAGGATGATACCATATGCATGGATATTTTGGGCGGCAGTGCTTTTGGGGCAGGTAGTTAACTTGAAGCATTCTACGATGGTTAGCACAACCAAAATTAGATATCGCATAATTCTGCTTCCACCCTCCAATTAAATGAAACCTATCAGTACATAGATGGACAAAGTAGAGAAATGTAGATATACAGACAGATCTCCATTCAGCATGTCATAGAATCAAGATCCGAAGGACCAATTAAAACTCACCTCTCTCTGAGGTTGAACCCGTCCTGCAGTAGTGTCTGAAAATGAACACAGAGACATCAACTTTTTTCTGAGCATGGAAAATTGGTATTATAGTGCATTATGCTTGGTAGATTATGAACTAAGTTTCCCAGAGATGTCTGCGACACCGTTCAGGTTTATTATTGTAATTATTAAAATTATCAAGCCTTGGATGGAAATTAATACCCACTACTGCAAGGCATTACCCACTACTGCAAGGCATTCTTTTTATGGTAGTCGGGCAGTATGATCCTGCAGAGCAGAATATCTCGCTACTCCTCTCGACGTCGGCCCAAATATCTGCTCCACCACACGTGTGATTCGGCTGTCCCGGTGGGATTTGGTAATTGTATCTGCAATATACCTTGCACTGAAGTTCATAAATGTAGCAATGCAGAGGGAAAAGCAATTCATAACTTCCAGAAACTTACGGATCACATATTCCAGTAGTCTTATTGAGTTTTGCCGAGGGACAGTAGGAACCTAAAGGACATGCTTCATTGACAAGAAAAGGAAGACAGCAGATATAAGTTCCTATTTCTTAGTCTTTGGAAAATCAATCTAACGACACATGGAAGCCAAGATAAGCGTGTGAAGTCCAGCATGCCGGATCCATAAGAGCAATCAACTTTTAGAGCTGCGAGTCATGAACTAAAAGTTGCTTCATTTATTATTGTCCACGCAAAATCTAGTCAACCCAAAGGATAAGCAGAGTTCCTACTTCGTTTTTGCATCTATAACATTGCCTATCAAGTATTACTAAGTTTGCCCTGAAAATAGCTTGAAAATAATACTCAAGACCATCATTTGCCTCTTTGATGGCAATTCACATATATACCTGGAAAGCATTTGCACTCATTGTTTAATGTCATTTTTTCTTTCCCGAATTTTTTCCCTTTTCCATTTGCTCAATTTGTTCTGTAGTTATGGTATACTTAAAGCTTTGTTTGGCCAGTTCGAGCTCCCAATTATGCTTTTAGCATTTCAAAATTTTCCTAAAATAAGGCAGTTGTTCTGCTTATGATTGGTCCAAGATTCGGAAATCTTATTCATGCATTACCTTACCTTAAACGGTCATCCAGTGGAGTAACACCATAACGTTTTAACTAGATAATTGCCAAATTTTTCTGTCGTATTCACTTTTCGATCAATATCTACTCTTAGGAAGCATATACCATGCAAAATTTTCTATTTCAGAATTTACATCTAATAGTTTACATCTGAAATTCAGTCATATACTTACGAATCATGCAAGTAATGCCCTGAGGGCAGAAGAAGCCCTCACAGCAAGGCTGACAGTCATGTGTCCTCGAAGGCATCTCTTTCGAGGTCTTGAGGTCGACATTCTGATCTGTTTCCACCGAGCAACCCCATCCAGGTTCACATCCAGAAGCCCAAGAAGTCAAATTGCAGTTCTTGTTAGGCCTTAGATAATTTGTGTTTGTTGGCCCGTTTTCGAAGAAACTACTGAAGTAGAACTTGATTTCTGCGACTGTGCAAATTCTTCTGGTAAGGTCTCCTGTTAATCAAAAATGTTACCCCCATCAGAAGATATAAAAGAAGCATGATTACAATTTCTGCTGGATAATTTGTGAAATCAACCTTATCTGTCTTAAAAAGCTTTTCCTTTTGTCTTTTTCCTTACTTTTCCAATGTGCTTAACTATAACTTAATAAGCCTTTCATTTTACCATGTCAATGAAGAGCATCTCTCTCTTTCCCTCTCCGAGACAAAGCAGTTTCAATAAAAGATGGAGAGAATCCGAGATTGTGCTAAAGCTCACACCTTTAGTTTTCTCGACACAAGAAGTCAAAAAATCCAGTTTCCCTGTAAAGTTAAACGCCCCATTCCACTCGGCATCCCTGAAGGCCAAAATAACATTGGATCAGAGGGAAAATCATACAAGCATGACCGATTAGAAAGCAAACACAGAAGGAACTACTCACACATCCTTAATGCAGAAGCCCAAGCTGCGTGATATGTCGGCTCTGAAAAATGAGGTAAGATTTGAAAGCCGGCTATAGATTAGCTCCGTGACCAGAGGCAACACGGTTGGGTTGTTGGTCTGACTGTAATCATCCCCATCCACAGAGCTCGTGCGACACAAGAAACTCAAGAAAACAACCAGAAAGAGAGACACGAGGTAGGCACGAAGGCATCTGCAATTCCTTCCCCTTCTCATTACGATCAAATAGAGCTCTTGAAATAGCATATAAAGGCCGGCATCCAGGATCAAACTTTGGATACATGTATAAAAAAAAGGCACTAGAATCGGATGCAATGTCAGCTTTGCACTATGATGCCAATCATGAACAATGGCAACTTCAGGAAATCCTTTTCTGACATTTTCACAAAAGATTCATGAATCAACCACGTCTTTTTTCGGGACGTTTCAGCTCAAGAATCGAGAACAGAGTAATGGGCCATTCTTGTTTCGCTCATGGGAACGTGAAGAGCTTGTGGAGAGGCAAACGATGGAGCTTGAGAAACGTGGCAAGTCCCCATTTTTTAGGATGAAGCAATGGTTAGGAGAGAGAGGTGGCTGATTTGAAGGGATGGATACATGTAAATGGCAAAAGGGCACAGGCAAAAGCCATGATGGTTCAATCGGGTGACCGTGTTTTGCACTGAATTGCGAGTCTACACAATCTTGACTGTACTTCCATCGATTCTCACGGGAATTACATCGTACGGTTAAGCGGCACAGTGCCCATCTTTCTATGTTCACGCCTTCACAGCCATTTGCATCAGATGGTGTCATTTGACAGATCGCGATGCATATCACTACTTGCATCCCTCCTTCCCTCTAGGGACAGGCCAAGTTTTGACTGTGTCATGCTAATACTAGTCTTAGAAAATTGATATACCGAGTGATTCATCAGATTCCGATGGAGTGTCTTATCTGCAATCTGTACAAAAATCGATATACTGATTTCCTTTGTAAGCTTCTAAGCAGTATGTTTTTGAAAAGGTTATCCATGGGAAGAAAGGAAGACACCAAGATTTTTCCTTTCTGGTTCATGGAAGCTTCTTCCAATTTTGGGCTTCTTCCTCCTCGAGGCATATGGTCAAGTATTTTTGTTGGACTTGACCAAATACTACTTACCGAGAAAAAAAGAACACTTTCAGCTAAAATATTGAATGCGTAGACCAAACATCACGCTAATATTAAAAAAATTCCAGACTTGTACCCCACGACAAATTCACCAAAAACTCATTCTCGTCTCACAAAGATCCAAAACCGGCGTTCATGATCCAAATTTATCCTCCGTCGGCAGATCCGACCGACAGTTATCTGTGAAATTTTTATGCTTTGGAATTTTCATTGGTAGTAACCCTTTTTTATATCTAGAAAAATACATTGAAACTCCGACATAAAAGCATTTTCTAAGTAGAGGACGTACGGAAATACCTAGCCGCTTAAAATCCCCGTCCCGTGGTTTCGTAACTTAATTCCTAAGTATTGTTTGGACACTTCGTAGGCAAATTTTATATAAAAAAAATATTACTTTCAAAATACTAATTGTAAAATGTTAATCCTTGATAATCTTGTTGGAAAAAGAAAGAAGCAAGAAGCAAGAAATATGAAGTGTGAGGAAGAGTTCAGCACGACCGCCGTCAAGGGGGAAAAGTACAGATGCAAATCAGCAATGGCGAGAAATATGAAATAGCCGCCATCATTTAACGAAGCCTAAGAACAGTAATGATCCCCATTTCTTTAAGCAGCGAATCGGGATAAAGCTTTATTTCTGAGATCCCGAAAATTCCTCGACACCCTTTCTCTCTCTCTCTCTCTCTCTCTCTTCATGCAAAGTCTCAAGCTGACCCACACGGTCGAAAGTTTCCAACGCTTCAGTCCCGTTCCAACACGGACGTGTCCGAACCACATCCGTCTTAACAACGACAGATGCGGAGCTGCAACTCGTCCTTTTCTTTTCTTCTGGGTGCATTTTGATCTCTCTGTTCGTTGGCTTTGGGTGGGGAGCTGACTCGGAGCTGCCGTGTTGATGACTTATCTCTCGGACTTGGTAGCTCCCTGCTCGATCTTTTTGAAGTCTTGCCAAGTGGGTCGCTTCTGGTTTGCCTCAAAATCGGGAATTTGATTGATTTCGCAGCTGAAGTCTTATGTGAAGCGCCGTGAAGTGAAAGGGTCCGAGGTGAGTCTTTGTCTCATCGTTTGGGCATGAATATGTTCGTAGCTGCTTCATTTGATTGGTGAAGGATTCCCTGTTGCGAGAGCGGTTGACGGGTTTGATGTGATTCGTATGATCAATTTTGCCTTGTTTTGTTCATCAATGCCTCGGCTGGTTGCTGGAAACTTCTTTTGTCTTTGAACTTCGAGTATATTTGAGTGCTTCGATCTTCAGAGCCCCAATAGCGTTAGCCATTTAACCTGGGAGAAATAGTAACTTATGAACAATGATGATATGATGAATCATGGACTCACCTAACCCCGTTGACACCGGGTGCTGTTCAATGTGTAGCTTTTAGCCTTTTACACTATGAGGTGTTTCAATCTCTGATTTATCTCCTGGTTTTACAGCTATGAATTGCTTTTCGTTTTTAAACGGGGACAAGAAGGAAGATGTGAAAACTCCAAAGTGGGTTTCGGCTCAGTCCACGGCTTCTATATTTACTGATTCTGATTTTAAGATAACTGGCTCTGAATTGAATTCTCGAAACCTCTCCGAAGCAAGCGCAGAATCTATAGGGAGGACTGCCTGTCCTAATGTTTCGCAGAAACCCAGCAATCTCAAAGCCTTCACTGTTTCAGAACTCAAATCAGTCACCAAGAACTTCAGCCGCTCTGTCATGATTGGAGAGGGTGGATTTGGGTCTGTTTATAGGGGTACGATCAAGATTACGGAAGATCCATCTAACAAACTTGAAGTGGCTGTGAAGCAGCTGGGCCGGAAAGGAACCCAGGTAAAACTTTATCCTCCCTAATCATGTGTAATCATCTGTTTTTAAGATTATGCGTAATAGTGTATTTTCTGCTTGCTGTTTATCTGCAGGGACATAAAGAATGGGTGACGGAAGTTAATGTTCTCGGTGTGGTTGAGCATCCAAATCTTGTAAAATTAGTTGGATACTGTGCCGAGGACGATGAAAGAGGAATTCAACGGCTTTTGGTATACGAGTATATGCCGAATGGAAGCGTTGATGATCATTTATCATCTCGCTCCCAAACACCCCTTCCATGGGAAATGAGACTAAGAATAGCTCAAGATACTGCTCGTGGCCTGACATACTTACATGAGCAGATGGACTTCCAGGTTACTACCTTGATCATTTTACGTTGACTCATAAATGGCTTCATTTGTTTCTCTTCATTCGAGTTCAGCCATCCCATTTCCATAGCACCTAGGCATCACTTGTCCATTAGAACTGAAATTTCCTATCTCATCCTCTTCTTTTCAAGTTTCCTTTTTCATTTCTTTGCCTAGATATGGGAGTCAGTGGGATGACTCTAAATGATTATGAGCAACTTCTACTTTTTCTGAAATCGTTTTCTTTAGTATAGTGACATGGCAGCAACCTCTCTCATTGGCCAGGATTACACATCTGAAAGTCCGGGCCTGCCTTCTTACTTACCTTTTGGGTGATTTCTGATACAGATAATTTTTAGAGATTTCAAATCATCGAACATTTTACTGGATGAGCAATGGAATGCTAAGTTGTCAGACTTTGGATTAGCAAGACTCGGACCTCAAGAGGGTTTCACTCATGTATCAACGGCGGTATGCTCATATAGATTGATCATTCTTTTATATATTGTCCATATGTTCCTGCGTAAATTAAAGACATAATTCAGTGCTAAATAACTAAAGCTCTATTCAGTAGCATCTCCCATCATTTTTACCTTCTCATTGTTCTTTGTCTAATATTCATTTTCATTATTATGAAGACAGTCTAGTCACAGAAAGAAAGGTCCATAGCTAATTGGGCATGTTTGTATGATGACTTTTGCATGAAGATTTTTGTTCTGTACGGACCATTTAGTGATCTAGACTATTGTACTTTTTGTCTCTAGAAGCGCTAACATTTCTGAAAGAAAGTTGGGCAGCGTCAATTGTTAACAAAAAAGCCATAACACAAATCCTGATGCATCAACGGCTAGCATTAATTGTTTGTTAAAGCTTTACAATGGTTTTTTGTTTTTTGGTCGAAAAGCTTTACAATAGTCTTTATCCATTACGTATATTCATAGAGATTAAAAGGTATGACTAGCACTCTGATGGACCATTTACTATAGCAGACAATTTAATAATACTCTACTTAGATCAATTCGTCCCTTTTTAATTCCTTTGGCAGGCATGTTCTTGTTACTTTGACTTTTTAGTGATTGGGATGACGTACTTCATCCAGCAACTGCTAAAATGGGCTTGTGTGCTTCATGTACTTAAATCAGCTTTTTATGAATGTGACTTTGTATGAATGTGGAACCCAACTCAATTTTGAGAATGTTCCGAGTTTGGTACAACTCCATAGAAAACCCTGATATCCTTTTAATCTCTTTGCCATGCTTCATTGCTAGACTTAATAAAGCAAACATAGTGCCTGCAGCCATGAGAAGTTTGGTAAAACCTGAATGACATCGTGAAAGTGATTTCTACATACTGTATGCCTTGTGGGGCGCTAAAATTTTACACCTGCCCTCTTCCTTTGTTAGAAGCGAATCATGCTAAAAACATTAACGCTTGCACAAATTTGTTACACTTTTGATTAAGGTACAACTATGAATAAATTAAAGTACAACATAGTGTCACCCTCATGCAAGTCTTCCTGGACAATTTTTGTGCAATGGACGATTCTAGCTATATTTCTTGTATTGTTAATGATGGTTTTATACCAGGTTGTGGGAACCATCGGATATGCTGCTCCTGAATACCTGCAAACTGGCCGTCTCACGTCGAAGAATGATGTATGGAGTTATGGGGTTTTCCTCTATGAACTAATCACTGGTAGGCGTCCTTTAGACCGTAACCTCCCCAAGAGTGAACAGAAGCTTTTAGAATGGGTGAAGCCATACCTATCAGATTCAAAGAAGTTTAAGTTGATAGTGGATCGCAGGCTTGAAGGGAAATACCAGGTCAAGTCTGTGTACAAGCTTGCAACGGTAGCCAACAAATGCTTGCATAAAAACCCAAAGTCACGCCCTAAGATGAGTGAGGTGTTAGAGTTGGTGGACGAGATTGTGAGGGAATCAACTGGCATGGACTCATTGAATAGTTTTACATCAGTAGAGACACAAGGGGATACTGGAACGAAAAATAAGAGAAGGATCGTTGATTTTAAAGCTTGGGAAAATGGGTGGTTGGGTCGGATCTGGACACTGAAGGTTGCGAGGACGTGCTGAGAAGCAAAGGTTCAATGTAAATAGGCATGGTTTATGCAAAAGAAAGCAAGAGTAGAAAAAAAAGGCAGCATGGCGTGGATGGAACTCGGGTTCAACACATTGTAGGCACAAGAGACCAATAATTATTGGTTGTGCTGTAATATATTGTTCTCGTATAGAGAAACTCATCTGATGTAGAAGTAAGAGTATCGCAATCTGGAGCCTGGACATGGAAGGCCTATGATGAGAGAAGAGTCAAAACTCATTATTTTGGCCACAAAATAAGGATGACCTGGTACATGAATGCAAAGTTGAGGAGCTTCCTGTAAAATGTAGAACAGGTATTGAAATTGTTGTGCTATGTGATCGACACAAATTTGTTTTCCCTTGAGTTCTGAATCAATGTCAATCTTTTTTTGGAAAGTAATATTCATGTATTCTGTTTCTCTGGTTCTATATAGGCTCTCTCTACGAAGTGGACCCTTTCCACCCTTGAAAACTCTAGATTTCGTGAGTATTCATAGAGGGTTCTGCTGCATGTACAAGCAAGATTTGGTAGGTTGTACTATAAGGATGATTAAAAGGAGATAAGGAGGGTCTGCAGAAGTACAATATTGTTGAGACAGCACTGTTATATCGTTTTATGTGTTAACTGCTCATGTCGAGAATTATCAGTCCTTTACAGTGGCAATAAGCAATCTATAGCTTTTACTAGTTTAGCTCAGGACAGAGTTCAGATGCAACCAAAAGTGTCGATAGGAACTATTGCAGAATGCCTTGACCACTCGATAGAAAAGGAAACCATCCGGAAAAATATTCAGGGTTTGCTGAATATCTGTGGACAAATTGCAAATTTGGAATCATTAAACAAATCAAACAAGTCACATGTGGACATTGAGAGTCAAAATTCTGTTTCCCCTGTTGTGGTGCAAATGTATTGAATCAAAATTGCAGTCGATACAGTGAGTTTTACCGACTCATGGTCGCATGTATTACACTTTGGAGAGGACTCACAAAATTACAAAAAGTATCATGAGTCTCTATGTAACACTACGTAATCATACATCATTAGCTAATAAGTTTGTAGCTTCAGCATGAATTAAATCTCGGGATTTTTGACAATTACTACAAAAAACCAAGGTGATCAGTAGATCTCTCCTCCTTCTCTGTCGAGTAGGTCTGCTTCAATATCTTCATCTACAGATGCGTCCTTCAAGAACAACCTGAGTTTCTCCAGCGGGTTCTCTCTCCGAGCGCCGTGAAACGCTTCCATCACCCAAGGAGAGCGCCCGAACACCCTCTTGAGCTCCTTTAAAGCATCCAAATTCTCTGCAAGGTCTGCTGTCCGCTTCATGCCCCCGACTTTGGTTCGAGCCGCCTCTCTTTTCCGTTCGAGTTCCCTTCTCAGTTCTGTTTTCACGGACGATCTTTGTTGCAAGATACCAGATCTAATCACGGGTCTGCTTGCCGGCTTTTCAACGGACGATCTTTGTCGCAAGATACCAGAACTAATTGCCGGTCTGCTTGCCAGCTTTTCAACGGACGATCTTTGTCGCAAGATTCCAGAACTAATTGCCGGTCTGCTTGCCGGCTTTTCAACGTACGATCTATGTCGCAAGATTCCTCTGATTGCCGGCTTTTCAACGGACGATCTTTGTTGCAAGATTCCAGAACTAATTACCGGTGTGCTCGCCGGCTTTTCTTGAACATCTGCCTCACCGTGTTTCAACAACTTTGCCTTCAGGATCACGCCAGCGAACCGCTGCTTCAACTTCTCGGCGCGGAGCATCCTCTCCACATCTGGGTAACCGACATTATTGTAAATCATCGCAAGTTGGGCGGTCCGAGCTTTCATCACCTTCTCGGAACCGTCGAAACAGTGTCTGTTCTGACCTTTCGGGTCATCTTTGCCCTTGACCGAACACGGTCGGGGACACTGCACAGGTGCGTTCCCAGCCATCGTCCATTGCTGCTTCTTCCTCTTCTTCGCGAGGGCTGCCGCGGGCTGCGGCATTCTCCGTTTCTTGGAGCCAAAGTCTTCCATCGTCGAGACGCGAAATGAGCTCTTCAGAGACAGAGACAGACCCGGAATGCAGTGCTCGACGAAGACGGTAAAAGGATCAACAACCAGAAACGTACGAAGGCTTCGGATGTCAGTGTTTGTTTTCGAATGGGAACAAAGGAGGGCAGAGATTTAGGGTAATTCTGAGTTCTTTCTTGAGTCCAAAGTTTTAAGACCGTATGCTGAGATTCGGCAAGATCATGATCGGATAACCTCGGAGACGTTCGTAGGATACGACCGTTGGTTGTTTTTTTCAGGTTAATTCAAATTCTCTCAAGGAAAAAAGATTAAAAAAAAAGACTGGAAATTAACCACAGTTTGGTGTTCTAAATTAGGAAACAAAATTACATCTGACAAAGCAAAAATTAATTGAACACTAGGAGTGCACGTGCGAGGGGCACATGATCAATCCAGTTAATACAGTTAGAAGGTGTCAACACTAACGAAAATAACTGTAATTACTTTCCTATTATATAGTTTGGCTGAAAAAAAAACTCTAATTAATTGGCTATTTGGATAATGTCGTGATTAATTTTGCACCCCCACGTAATTTTTTCCTTGATCCGAGGGTTATCTTTGAACTAATTTATGCTGAGTCCTTTTACAAATTCTATTATTCTCGACATAAGAAATCGATTAACTGCAAGAACGTATCCAATTCACAAATTTCATGAAAAAGAAAGGGCTAGTGCTATTTCCACCCTTTAAAAAACTTTACACGCACTGTGAGATTAGAATAGTCCAAAATAAGCCTCACTGGGATTTCATTAATGATAAAATCGATAAAAGAAGTGGATCAACTAATCTCATAATTTTGAACCACCTTCCTTAACTGTTATTCTTTTTATTTTTGTGTGTGTTTAAATCAGAGAAGTTTATAGATTCGTTGTTTTTTTTATACGAGAATCCTCCAAGAGTTGAGAATTGTATGATCAAGATTTTAATTTAAAGGAATGTTGATAATTTTTACCTTGCGATGTCTATGGAACATTTATTTACAATCTCTCCCTAAACTATAATTGCTAATAACTCCACTTTCACATACAATTAATGGATAAAGTTGTGAATTCTTTTTTATTACAATTTAGATTTGAGATGTTTTAACTGATAAAGATTACCTATAAGGTTCAAGCTCATAATAAAAAACATTTATAAAAATCAGTTTAAGCACATTAGTAAGTAAAAGAGAGAAGATGAAGTTATCTAAAAACGAAATGAAAGTAACAAAAGGTGGGTGGAATAAATCCACATTATTGTGATCATAATCAAGAGTGATGTATTTTCATGATAATGTAAAAACGTCGCTAATGATAACTTTTACCCCTTTCACTTGTGATTTTAATCGATTAATTATTTGGAAATTATTAGATATTTAGAGCGTTGAAATAGTGTGGGCCAAAAATTTAAAAAAACTGAGCTTATTATTCTTGCTTTACGTGTATTCCTTCATCACAAATGTTTCCCTATATACAGAAGTATCTCCAATCATTGATAGCAATTGCCAAATTCGAGAAAAAGGAGTAATTCCTGAATTAATATCCAAGATAAGAAATAGGAAACATTTCCATTGGTGATATTGACAGACATAATCAAATAATTCATGGCTCTTACAAGAATATACAAATGAATTACAATTTTGAACCTTACAAGATAAATGGTGCAGAAATTTGCCCAGTTTTGTCAAGTTGCTGATATCTTAAACATAGGTCATAGCCGATGCCTTTCGAGAAAATCGATGCATTGCCTGCTGCTTATAATGATCTTCGCGATTTTTGTACCGTTGAGATTTGTTCTTCTGGATTGCGATCCCTTTGACCACTTAATATGTCACTTGGGACAAATACGATTGAATAATCAAATGACCATATGCATGAAGGCCATGGCCGCTGAGGCATTGCTTCAGCTTGTACAGCGCTCAACTCTCCAGCTGTCTCACCCTCTCCTTTGACAGTCCAAAGATGTTTCCAATGTCCGAGAGTGACCCTTGTTCACCGCCGTCAATGCCATATCTTAGCTTCATGATCTGCCTCTCTCTAGGGCTAAGCGTGCTTAGGAGGTTGCGCACGTCTCTTCTCATTAATTGCTTAGAGACGCTTAGATCCGGGATCTCAACCCCAGTGTCTGCGATTATCTCCTGCAAAGATAATTGGAGTTGAAACGAGCGTTGGCATGCCAAGCAGCAACTTATTGCATCAAGGTTAGATAAAAATAGAAAATCATTGGCTCTAAGGATGTTAGAGCTAAAAGTGTGGCCTTAAGTTTTACCTCACGACTATGTAGAATTGATTATTGATAGAGCCACCAACGTAACGTTTTTCATTGAGGATGAGTATATAAATGATACAAGTGAGTCAAATAGGTGCAATTGAAGCATTTGCAAATGCAGCATTCCATTCATAAAAGCACAGCAATGTCTTGGAAAAGCAAGTCAAATCTCAAATGTCACCATCCGAAAGTTAGTATTCCTATCCAAAGTTTATTTGAGCTCACTAAAATTTACTTTGGCATCAGAATTCAGCATTGTGCACTGGCATGAGTGTATAGCCACCTTCCCTTTCTACAAAAGTTGGTATGCATAAATCTGGAGAAAATTTGTTCCATGATTATCCCCATAATAGCAGGCTTGGAGGCTAAAGCATGCTTTCGACAATTGAACCATTATCGACAACGACAAGCTTACAAACCACAGCAGCATTCATAGAATTGTAAGAACTTCAAATTAACGGCTGCAGAAAGCACAGACTGATGCACAACAAATTAATCCACAGTCTAGTTCTCAATAAATCAGACATCTAGCTTTCAAATTCCTTTTAGTTGCACAAGAATATCATTCATCACAACATAGATACACGTCACATTCAAGATTCATCGAAGTGACATGGTTTGTTTCGACCAACAAAAAAAAGTGACATGCTTTATAAGCCATTTAAAGAGATTGTGAAAAGCGTATCCATTTATGGTCTTCATCTGGGTGCGAACATGCATCCCATTGTCTTTTCTCTGGTTGAAATGACCTACCAAAAGCAGACTGAGAAAAAAGTCAGCACTACCTGAAAGGTGGTATCCTGGTCTGCCCACAAAGGCTGTTGCAGTGAGAGGGGTGGTGTTGTAGTAGATGCCAGTTTTTCTAACTTGTGGACTGAAATTCCAGCACGTTTAGCTTCTTGTTCTTTGCTTGGATGATGATGTCCCTCTTGAATGTAAGATCTCTTTGCTTCCATCACCTTGCTGAGGAGGGCATACACATTTTCCTGGAAGAAAATTTTCGATCCAGAATTACACAAAATGTCTATATTTTCTCAACTTACTAAATTGCGCATTCAAAGAGGCAAACAAAGCCAGACAATTCAACTCCTAAACACCAGTTGCTTCCCCAGCTGTTGGACACTGATAAAAGAAAGAAAAGCAAAGGAGAAAATAAGACTAAATACCGGCAAACGTATTGTCCTGGAATTTTGAAATATGGCCTTCCTTACTGTCTGCCTAATCCACCAGTAAGCATAAGTGGCAAGCTGGCAGCCCGCCTGGGGTTTGAACTTCTCGATGCTCTTCATAAGACCCATACTTCCTGAATTTAATGAGCAAGAGTATCGCAATCTGCAGCCTGGACATGGAAGGCCTATGATGAGATGAATTAAAACTCATTATTTTTGGCCGCAAAAGAAGGATGACCTGGTACATGAATGGAAAGTTGAGGAGCTTCCTGTAAAATGTAGAGCAGGTATTGAAATTGTTGTGCTATGTGATCGACACAAATCTGTTTCCCTCGAGTTCTGAATTGATATCAATCTTTTGTTGGAGGGTAATTTTCAGGTATTCTGTTTCTCGGGTTCTATTTATGCTCTCTCTAGGAAATGGACCCTTTCCACCCTTGAAAACTCTGGAGTTCGCGAGTATTCAAAGAGGGTTCTGCTGCATGTACGAGCAAGATTTGGTAGGTTGTACTTCAAGGATGATTAAAAGGAGACAAGGAGGGTCTGCAGAAGTACAATATTGTCGAGACAGCACTATTATATCGTTTAACGTGTTAAAGGCTCGCGTCGAGAGTTATCGGTCCTTTACAGTGGCGATAAGCAATCTATTCCTTCTACTAGCTGAGCTCATGACAGAGTTTAGATCCAACCAAAAGTGTCCGTAGGAACTATTGCAGTATGCCATGACAACGCGATAGAAAAGGAAACCATCTGGAAAAATATTCAGGGTTTGCTGAATATCTGTGAACAAATTGCAGATTTGGAATCGTTATACAAATCAAACAAGTCACACGTGGACATTGAGAGTCAAAAATCCGTATCCCCTGTTTAGCTGTAAATCTGTTGATCAAAATTTCAGTGGATACAGTCAATTTTACCGACCCATGGTCGCATGTATTACACTTTGGAGAGGACTCGCGAAATCACAAAAAGTATCATGAGTCTCTATGTAACACTACGTAATCATACATCATTAGCTAAAAAGTTTGTAGCTTCAGCATGAATTGAATCTCGGGATTTTGGACAATTACTACAAAAAACCAAGGTGATCAGTAGATCTCTCCTTCTTCTCTGTCGCGTAGGTCTGCTTCAATATCTTCATCTACAGATGCGTCCTTCAAGAACAACCCGAGTTTCTCCAGCGGGTTCTCTCTCCGAGCGCCGTGAAATGCTTCCATCACCCAAGGAGAGCGCCCAAACACCCTCTTGAGCTCCTTTAAAGCATCCAAATTCTCTGCAAGGTCTGCTGTCTGGTTCATGCTCCCGACTTTGGTTCGAGCCACCTCTCTTTTCCGTTCGAGTTCCCTTCTCAGTTCTGTCTTCACGGACGATCTTTGTTGCAAGATACCAGATCTAATCACGGGTCTGCTTGCCGACTTTTCAACGGATGATCTTTGTTGCAAGATACCAGAACTAATTGCCGGTCTGCTTGCTGGCTTTTCAATGGACGATCTTTTTTGCAAGATTCCAGAACTAATTGCCGGTCTGCTTGCTGGCTTTTCAACGGACGATCTTTGTCGCAAGATTCCAGAACTAGTTGCCGGCCTGCTTGGCGGCTTTTCAACGGACGATCTTTGTCGCAAGATATCAGAACTAATTGCCGGTCTGCTCGCCGGCTTTTCAACGGACGATCTTTGTCGCAAGATTCCAGAACTAATTGCCGGTCTGCTTGCCAGCTTTTCAACGGACGATCTTTGTCGCAAGATATCAGAACTAATTGCCGGTCTGCTTGCCGGCTTTTCGACAGATGATCTTTGTTGCAAGATTCCAGAACTGATTGCCGGTCTGCTTGCCGGCTTTTTAACAGACGATCTTTGTTGCAAGATTCCAGAACTAATTACCGGTCTGCTCGCCGGCTTTTCTGGAACGTCTGCCTCACCGTGTATCAACAACTTTGCCTTCAGGATCACGTCGGCGAACCGCTGCTTCAACTTCTCCACGCGGAGCATCCTCTCCACATCTGGGTAACCGACATTACCATAAATCATTGATAGTTGGGCGGTCCGAGCTTTCATTACCTTCTCGGAACCGTCAGAACAATGTCTGTTTGGATTGTCATTGCCCTCGACTGCGCGCGGTCGGGGAAACTGCACAGGGGCGTTCCCAGCCATCATCCTTTGCTTCTTCTTCTTCTTCGTGAGAGCCGCCACAGGCTGCGGCATTCTCCGTTTCTTGGAGCCAAAGTCTTCCATCCTCGAGACGCGAAATGAGCTCTTCGGAGACAGAGACAGACCCAGAATGCAGTGCTCGATGAAGACGGTAAAAGGATCAACAACTAGAAACGTACGAAGGCTTCGGATGTCAGTGTTTGTTTTCGAATGGGAACAAAGGAGGGAGAGATTTAGGGTAATTCTGAGTTCTTTCTTGAGTCCAAAGTTTTAAGACCGTATGCTGAGATTCGCCAAGATTATGATCGGATAACCTCGGAGACGTTCGTAGGATACGACCGTTGGTTGTTTTTTCCGGTTAATTCAAATTCTCTCAAGAAAAAAAGATAAGAAAGGAAGGGGTGGTTTTCTAAATTAGGAAACAAAATTACATCTGAGAAAGCGAAAATTAATTGGACACTAGGAGAGCACGTGCGAGGGGCACTCGATTATTTTAGGTAATACAGTTTGAAGGTGTCGACACTAATGAAAAAAACTGTAATTACTTTCCTATTATATGGTTTGGCCGAAAAGAAAAAAACTCTAATTTGTTGGCTGTTTGGATAGTGTCGTGATTAATTTTGCAATCTCACATAATTTGTCTCCTTATCCTATCTTCAAACTAATTTATGCCAGACCCTTTTTACAATTCTATCATTCTCGGCATAAGGAATCGATTGACTACAAGAACACGTCCAATCCACAAATCTCATGAAAAAAAAGACTCGTGCCATTTTCACAATTCAAATAGCTTAAGGCGCACCGTATAATTTGAATGGTCCTGGGATCTCAATAATGATAAACGAAGTAGATCAACTAATCCCATAAAGAGTTGACAACTTTAACAATTAATTGTATATGAAAGTGAATTATCAGCTACTGTATTTTAGAAAGAGATTGTAGATAAACGTTCCATAGACATCGCAACCTTAAATTTATTAATATTCCTTTAAATTAGAATCTTGATCATACAATACTCAACTCTTGGAGGATTCTAGTAAAGAAAAACAAAGAATCTATAAACTCCTCTGATTTAAACACACAAAAAAAGAATAACAGTTAAGGAAGGTGGTTCAAAATTATGAGAATAGTTGATCCACTTCCCTTCTTTTATCAGTTTTATCATTAATAAGATCACAATGAGAGTTATTTTGGACCTTTTCAAATTTTACGGTTACGGTGCGCCTAAATCCATTTGAAGGGTGTAAATAGCACGAGCATAGACATTTAGAGCGTGGACATAGGGCGGGCAAAAAGAAAAAATCCATTGAGTTTATTATTCTTGCTTTACGTGTATTCCTTCATCACAAATATTTCCCTATATACAGAAGTACCTCTGTACTTGATACCGGCTAGTAATCCCCAATCGTTGATAGCACCAGAAAAAGGAGTAATTCCTGAATTGATATCCAAGAAAAGAAATGGGAAATCTTTCCATTAGTGATATTGACAGCCATAATCAAATAATTCATGGCTCTTACAAGAATATACAAATGAATTACAATTTTGTATCTTACAAGATAAATGATGCAGAAATTTTCCCAGTTTTGTCACGTTGCTGAGATCTTAAACATAGGTCATAGCCAATGCCTTTGGACAAAATCAATACATTGCCTGCTGCTCATAATGATCTTTGCGATATTTGTCCCCATCGAGATTTATTCTTCTGGATCACGATCCCTTTAACCACTGAATATGTCACTCCAAACCAATATGATTAAATAATCAAATGACCGTATGCATGAAGGCCATGGCTGCCGAGGCATTGCTTCAGCTTGTATAGCGCTCGACTCTCCAGCTGTCTCACCCTCTCCTTCGACAGTCCAAAGATGTTTCCAATGTCCGAGAGTGACCTCTGTTCACTGCCGTCAATGCCATATCTTAGCTTGATGATCCGCCTCTCCTTAGGGCTGAGCGTGCTTAGGAGGTTGCGCACGTGTCGTCTCATTAATTGCTTAGAGACACTAAGATCTGGGATCTCAACCCCAGTGTCTGCAGTTATCTCCTGCAAAGATAATTGAAGTTTTAACGGAGTGTTCGCATGCCTAGCAGCAACTTGTTGCAGCAAGGTTAGATGAAAGAAGAAAATCATTGACTCTATGGATGTTAGAGCTAAAAGTGCGGCCTTAAGTTTTACCTTACGACTATGTAGAATTGATTATTGATAGAGCCACCAACGTAACGTTTTTCATTGAGGATGAGTATATAAATGATATAAGTGAGTCAAATAGGTGCAATTGAAGCATTTGCAAATGCAGCATTCAATTCATGCTCACCATCACCAAAAAAATGAGTATCTCTATCCCAAGTTAATTAGAGCTCACTAAAATTTACTTTGGCATCAGAATTCAGCTTTGTGCACTGGCATGAGTGTATAGCCACCATCCCTTTCTACACAAGTTGGTATGCTTAAATCTGGAGTAAATTTATTCCATGATTATCCCCAAGATAGCAGGCTTAGAGGCTAAAGCATGCTTTCAACAATTGAACCACACCGGCAAGCTTATAAACCATGGCAGCATTCACAGAATTGTAAGAACTTTAAATTTAATGATGCATAATAAATTGATCCACAGTCTAGTTCTCAATAAATCAGACATCTAGCTTTCAAATTGCTTTTTGTTGCACAAGAATTTCATTCATCACAACATAGATACATGTCACATTTAAGATTCATCAAAGTGACATGCTTTATAAGCCATTTAAAGAGATTGTGAGAAGCGTATCCATTTATGGTCTTCATCAAGGTGAGAACATGCATCGCATTATCTTTTCTCTTGTTGAAATGACCTACCAAAAGCAGACTGAGAAAAAAGGCGGCACTACCTGAAAGGTGGTATCCTGGTCTGCCCACACAGGCTGTTGCAGTGAGAGGGGTGTTCTTGTAGTAGATACTAGTCTTTCTAACTTGTCGACTGAAATTCCAGCACGTTTAGCTACTTGTTCTTTGCTTGGATGATGATGTCCCTCTTGAATGCAAGATCTCTTTGCTTCCATCACCTTGCCGAGAAGGGCATAGACATTTTCCTGCAAGAAAATTTTCAAACGAGAATTACACAAAATGTCAATATTTTCTCGACTTACTGAATTGCGCATTCAAAGAAGCAAACAAAGCCAGACAATTCAACTCCTAAACACCAGTTGCTTCCGCAGCTGCGGGACACTGATAAAAGAAAGAAAAGCAAAGGATAAAATAAGACTAAATACCGGCAAACGTATTGTCCTGGAATTTTGAAATATGGCCTTCCTTACTGTCTGCCTAATCCACCAGTAAGCATAAGTGGCAAACCGGCAGCCCACCTGGGGTTTGAACTTCTTGACGCTCTTCATAAGACCCATACTTCCTTCCTGAATTTAGTGAGCAAGTAGAGAGCTAATAAATCAAGAAACGAAAGTTTCTCTCCCAGAAACTTAAAAGTGCTTGTCCACAAGGTCAAGATTTGGAAACAAGATATATCTTGCCAATGCTGATTAACCCATCCCAATTTCTATGAACTCACACTCCCTTTCGTTTTTACGTAAGGAACATGCTACGGAAAAACAAAATGGAGGTTTGAAATGCTGGACACCATGAATCAAACCCCACCCCAACCATACACAGGTGCAAATATAAGCCCAGCGTGACAGGTGTTCTCTTTAATCCAAGACCCAGATTTGGAAAGACTTGGAACAAATATCTCAGCTTCTTCATAAGTGCACTGCAAACAGATAGAGACATTGATTGTGCGGGTAAAGCTGAATTCTCACATATAAACATCATATAAAAAAGCCGACATGTTTCAAAAATCAAAGATCCCAATTGGACGAGGAAACGTATAAAGCCAGAACAGTGTCTCCGTTTACCTGCAGCAAGTCTGGTAGGGTGAGACCTCGACCCTGATATCGTTTGGCAATGTGAACAACCAGACGTAAGTTAGCATTAATCAATTTTTCCCGACAACTGTTTCCAGAATGAAGCTGTGACTGCAAATCCTGACAACTTAAGCCAATGGCTTCAGCCCATTCAAGCAGGGTAGGCTCACGGCCAGACTGAGACTGAAGCCTTGTTTTCACTTGCTCTAATTTAAGTAGAACCTGTTGCACATATCCATGTGAAAGAGCTATTAGAGCTTGTAAACTAAGAATGCACTAACAATATGGTAGGATCAGTATTTATATTCACCTGTATCTTAAGGATCAACTCTAGTTCTTCTTTAGATGTCAAGAGTAGTTTAGTTTCAGGTCCCCACAAGAACATTCGAAGAGGATCATTAGGATCAAAACCTTCATTTAGTCTTTTTTTAGTATCTAGCCTTTTGGAACTCTTGTTCCCAGTGACCACACCTACTGGCTTTGACACCCTCCTCTTTTTAGATTGCCTCTCAAGCAGCCGTGTTGATCTCACTGTTTTGACTTCCTCCTTTCGAATATCGACTGAAGTTGCAGTGCTTGTACTGAGAGAAATCAAAGAATTAACATCAGAAAAAAAGCTTTACTTCTAGAGAGCAAGTAGAACAAACCAAGCATAAAGCTTACATGAGACAAACCTAGGAGAAAGTGCAAAATCAAGATCAGTCCCAAGCAACGTAGAGTCTGCCAACAAGGCTGCCTCCCTTGAAGCTTCCAGTGCTTTTTTAGCAAGGGAAACCACATTAGACAGTTCATCGTCAGTAAGCTTCTTTGGATTGATTGTGACTGACTGCATGTTCGAGCATTGGTTATCCCTAGTTTTTATAGATGGCAATCTGCAATATCATAGATAATAAATTACACTCAAGAGGTGGCCCAGAAGGGGACAATATTCAAACCACATCTAGACTAAGTTTGTATTCATATTTTGTACAATCGTCAACATAAGAGGCAGGTTTATGCAAGTGTCTTACAGGTACCATAAACCAGGCCAGCGACGACAGTGATACTCAAAATCTTGGAATAAACTTTCAGACTCATCGAGACTTTTATCTCTCAAAGTCACCACCCCAGTCTCCATCTGCTTCCTGTTTCTCGATACCTATTGCACAAAACGGAAAAAGTAGCATACTCAAACTAATGACCTCATAAACAATCACGTAGGGATCACAGTTCCATTCCAGCCAAAAAGAAACTCATTCATCACCCCTGCGTGGACTGCACAAGGCATTTTCATCGACGGTCTAACCTGTAATGACTTGTCGTCTTGGATAACGTGTAAGAGAGGCCTGTCCTCATTTCGCTGCTCCTGTAAGTGCACGGACATAGTAATAGCTCGAGCCCTTGATAGGGAAGGCACGGACGGAACGGCTCCTAGTTCATGGAAACAATAAAACGGAAGAAATGAATAGGAAAGCCATGGCTAGCATTGTGAAATACATACACATGCTGTTCACCCGGAATCACTAGTGATGGATGAGTTCTGCTGTTGCGTATGGAAAAAGAGAATGCGTGGTTCCTAAAATTTCTGAACTGGGTCCCAAAACTATCTCTGCAAACACCTGGTAATCCCAGCAAAGATACCAACCTTGTTCACTATAGCGCATATCTACCGTATCTAACTCCTTCAATAAAGAGCGATGTGAACAGCATAAACAAACCCATCATATTACGGCGGATGCGGTAACGGGTCCAACCCAAGATATCTTAAAAGGCAAACTATCAAACGGCATCCGCGCACGACAATGTTTCGAGGAAAAAGCGGAAGCTTCACACGCATTCGTTGAGCCCAGACAAACAGACCCACGTCAGCACACCAAGACCACGCGCTACCTGAAGAGGCGGAGGGGAGAGAGTTTCTGGCGAGGGCTCTCCGCGGGAACAACGGCGGAGCAGAGGAAGAAGAGGAAAGCAAGTTCCCTGCGGACTCCATCGGGCATCGAGCTCGGAACTCAGGGGCGTGTCCGGTGTCTCTGCTCCTGAGGAATGCTTTCAGTGCAATGCGCGGCCACGTCTGTGGACGGATAGAATGCGAGTCTTCCGCTGCTGCATAGGCAGAGCCGAGTCACGGAGAGAGAGAGAGAGAGAGAGAGAGATAAGAGAAGCAGACAGAAGAGGCGAAAACACGCGACGATTTCAGAGGCGCTCGAGACAAGACAAGAGGGAGTTAAGGATGAGGTTGGGCTCTCTCTCTCTCTCTCTCCCTGTTCCAAGTGAATCCGGTCGGCCCAAACTTTTTAGCGAGGGAGCGAGATACTCGAGATCTCGGCCGTCGATCGCTACGACTTCGTGCTTGGGGCTCTCGACCCTGCCGTTGATCCGGTTTACTTTACACCCCTGGTCCAAGCAATTCTCATCCATTGATGCATGGCTCCCATATCTTTTTCCTTTTGGAGGATCGAATCTGGTGATGAAATATCGTGTCGGATTTTTATCCCGACGAATGCCGTTTAGGATGATCAATGGGTCCGTGCCGCGTGGCCGGACTCGAGAAAAGGCCAGAGTGAGGAAGACGGACACGATTAGTGCCCGAGCAATTTATCTGGGTTGGTCGTCCACTTTCTCCCGCTGACGTGCTAATTAACTCGAGGGAGCGTTCTTTCGAAGGAGTGGGATGTCTCTACGCAATATTCCGATTCAGTCGGATTGAATTAAGGAGGGTGATTGGCGGGGTTCACAAGGGGTCTCATCATTCATAATTAAGGTATGCATGCAAATTGACCATGTAGTGTGATGGTGAAATTCGCGAGCTATATGAATTACTTGCTTCAAATTCCATTAATCCTTAGTTCTTTTTCCCCTCCGAAAGTCTGGCGAAGTGTATGCATAGTGCTAGTCATTCAATGCTGATTTCATGCTTCTATTTTTCACTTACCCATCACTCTTTTGTGATTTAATAAGACTGTTTTAAGATTAGATTAGTAATCTACTACCCTTTCTTATGAGACTGAGCACACGACTCAGGAAACAAATGAGACTTCAGATGACACCACGAAAGGGGAGGTCAAGATTAGATTGGTAATATACACAATCGTATTGGATGAGGGTAGATCTAATACCGAAGGAAAATCCCCATCAAATTAGATAAAGAGGCCTCGGAAAGAAAACACAGAAAGCTTGAAAACCCCTCTCTTCCCCCAGACACAACGCTCTCACATCTTACGATGCATCTACAGGTACACTTGCGTCGAAAAATAAGACTATGGATCTTGTAACTCGAGTACTAAAGAAATTGGATTTCACCATTCACTACATTTGCCTTCATAATACAAAGCATGCAAGATTTGACTTCGTTACTGCGTTGCGTTGAACCCCCTTTTCACATACAGAGAAAGAACTTTTCTGACCTAATAAGCCACAAACACGACCATAGGAATGACTTCAACAAGATTAAGCTTCCTGTGGTTATTTAAGGGCAAAGTACCCATTCACCAGTAGATACCCATAACCTGCACAGGCTCTAATTCAAAATGTACCTATGGATCTGAACACCTGACAATGGAAATTCATGCTACAGAATGAAATTCATGCGGGAGCACCGTGCTATCGCACTGTGAGCATGTACACAAATGCACACGGTCCCAGATAGACCAAAATATTTCCAGAAAAGATCGAAAAAACAGCAATTCATAATAATGTTATAATTTCCCGGACTGAATTCCACTGCTCATACTTAACGCACAAATAAATCAGAGACAGTAAGATTTTTAAATGGAAGGGCCACTAGCTCAGAATGTCAGAAACATAGGAAGTACAGGGACCTCAAATTGATCGGAGGAGTAAGTCGGGCAGCATGAAGCCAAAGCCTTCCCATGAGACGGGCAGCATGAAGCCAAAGCCTTCCCATGAGACAACTCCCAACAGTATACAGTGAAACAGGAAGAAGAAAGGTTTGATATGCAAAGGGAAACATAGAGGAGATCATCTGATTAACTATAGAGGTCATCGTCATCAGCGCCACCAGCAGAAGCTGCGAAAGGATCTGATCCTGCAGCACCGCCACCAGCTTCTGCAAATCGAAATTCGCTTCCGAACCCTCTCGACTGCTGGAGTGTCTGCGCAAAAGCTTGATACTTCCTAATATCAGCATCACTCACACTCCTGCGAGCATACTTCATCGATTCCTCGAAATGAGCAGCTTTGATTTCCGCCACTTCATCTTCGATGTCCTCCTCCATGGCTTCTGGATTGTCCCTTCTCCTCCTCTCTCTCTCAATATCCTGCAAAGAACAAACAGGAGAAACTTAGTTTCTATACTATATTTGCTACCCAAAACACACACAAGAACCTTGATGGATAAGACAGGAAAGAATGTGACAATTAACACTCGATGTTTTAACTAGGAAAGGCACTGACACATTCTCGAGATGTTTATACCACTAGCCGGATGATCATCCCCCATTCAAATTTCCACTACCAAAATTATGAAATAGAATGAAGATGGAATCTTGATTCTATTCAGCTCCCTCCCATCCGACAGGTAATGTAAATCACGTACTTAAATGAAGAGACACAGTAAAGCATCAAAGACGAGCAAAACCATACTTTCTCGATGTTTTCTCTGATGGCATATTTACATGCACGCTGGCATATTTCCGTGATATCAGCACCGCTAAATCCTTGCGTATACTTAGCAAGAGCTCTCAGATCAACATCTTTGGAGACTGGAGATTTCCTCAAGCATGCCTTAAATATTTGATGTCGAGAGTCCTCATCAGGGAGAGGGATGTAAATCAGCTGATCAAGACGGCCTGGACGTAGAAGTGCAGGGTCTATGATGTCTGGCCTGTTGGTAGCTCCAATGATGAACACGGTTTTCTTTGCAGACATCCCATCCATCTCTGTAAGAAGTTGGTTCAAAACCCGATCCGCAGCACCCCCGGCATCACCCACACTGCTTCCTCTCTGCATGAAACGCAACCAAGACAATGAGGTGGAAGTCACTTGTCAAGGAACATATCTAGAACCAACATATCTCAAGGAAAACCAAAGAAAAAAAGAACAAAGACATTTAAACATAACAAGCTCATCTTATTATGTGTTCGTTCAAGGATTAATAACCAACAACCACCAAACTACCTACTGCTTATGAAATTTGTGTAGCACAATCTACAATTCAACTCTTGACTTGGCACCAAACGATATTGGCTTCGAAACCTCAAATTACTTTTTATAGGGATTGCTAGAAAGACATGAGAAATATTGAAGAAATTAACAAGTGGAAAATAATAGTACCATCGACAACAAGTGGTTCAATTACTTGCACATCCGAGAAGCACTTGATATTATGAATCACGGCCATCAATGTTAGGTTGCTACCATATCATATCAAGCAGATGAGATGGTATCTTGTTTACAACCATTTGGATACATTTTAACTTAGCGACATAAGAATTTCGGCTGCATTCAAGCATTCTCATCAAAATCACAATCAGGAATACTACTTCCATTCCTAAATGGTTCTCAAAATCCAACCCAAGTACTATAGTCATAAGTGAAGAAAAACAAACCTGTGTAGCAATCGAGTCAAGTTCGTCGAAGAACAGAACACAAGGGGCAGATTGTCGGGCCTTGTCAAAAATTTCACGTACATTTGCCTCACTCTCTCCAAACCACATAGTAAGCAACTCGGGGCCTTTTACGCTGATAAAATTTGCCTGACATTCATTAGCTATAGCTTTAGCCAGAAGAGTTTTGCCACATCCAGGAGGACCATAGAAAAGGACTCCCTTAGAAGGTGACATTCCAAATTTCTCAAACTTCTCAGGATGCTCCACTGGATACTGAACAGTCTGCACAGTAAAAAATGAAGCAGCCATTAAATTCCAAATTTAAGACCTTGAAAATAGTTGGAGCGTACACAAAAACCCCCCAAAAAAAGCGCAAGTAACCATACCTCTTGAAGCTCTCTTTTAACATTCTCAAGACCGCCAATATCTTCCCAGCTCACATTTGGCACTTCAACCACCTGGGTGGAAAAAAAATGTAGGAATTAGATTCAAACTCGTGCAGGATAATAAGACCATGAAGCAGCTCCAAATTGGTAAGCAGCTCAATACTATACAAAAGGTACATGTTACATATACTTACCGTCTCACGGAGAGCAGATGGGTTGCTCGTTCCAAGAGCAGTCTGGAAGTGCTCATTTGTAACTGCCATGGAGTTGAGTATCTCCGCATCTATGGTCTCATCTTCCAAGTCAATTACATCCATCTTCTCTCTGATGCACTGAAGTGCAGCTTCAGTACAGAGAGCAGCCAGATCAGCACCAACATAGCCATGTGTGTCCTTAGCAATTCTTTCCAAATCAACCTGCATATCATTAGACAAAATTATAAGAATCAAGGGGAAAAAGAAGATACCTATGCAACAAATAGGTTAGTAAACAAAAAAGAAAATCCTATACATCTTCGGCAAGCTTCATGTTCTTTGTGTGAATGCGGAGGACTTCCAGGCGCCCAACTTCGTCTGGAACTCCGATATCGATTTCCCTGTCAAATCTCCCAAATCTCCTCAGAGCTGGGTCAATGCTGTTCGGTCGGTTAGTAGCTCCGATAACTATGACATGGGCACGAGACTTCAAACCATCCATGAGTGTTAGCAGCTGAGAAACGATCCTCCTCTCGACCTCTCCATGAGTCTTCTCTCGCTTCGGAGCAATTGAATCGATCTCATCAATAAAGATGATGGAAGGTGCATTTTTCTCTGCTTCCTCGAAAGCTTTCCTGAGATTGCTTTCACTTTCACCAGCCAACTTTGACATGATCTCTGGTCCATTGATGCAGAAAAAGAAGGCACCAGTTTCATTTGCAACAGCCCTAGCAATGAGAGTTTTCCCAGATCCAGGAGGTCCATACAGCAGGATTCCTTTAGGTGGTTTCACACCAATTGATTTGAATAACTGTGGATGTCTCAATGGCAGCTCTACCAGCTCCCTAATTTGAGCCATTTGCTTCCTAACACCACCAACATCATCATAACCAACCTCATCTAATCTATTCTCATCCTCCCTCCTCACAGGTTCTCCCTCGCAGAAGATCTCTGTATCCGGGGCAACAACACAATACTCGGCAGGATCGGTCTCAATAACCTTGAACTCGACACTTCTCATTCCTCCTCTAACAAGGAAGAGATCGCCTTTCCTCA